TTAAACAAGAATTTGTGTATTTATACACACATTTATTTATTTATTTGCATATTTATTTGTGTATTTATTTATTTATTGTTTTTGCAGGTTTCGTTCTCCATACCTATGAAGTATAGCTAATACTAACACAAGAGAACACCAGCGCAGCCGTAAATAGTCTGATTAAATGTTTTTAATGCATTTAATATGAATCAAGCTTTCCATGCTGCCCCTTCTTTACCAGTTAAGAAAATTCTTAAATGTGGTGCTTTCTGATTGTTAAAACTTTTAATCATTATAATATGAAAATATACCTAAATAATTAAATGCGTATAATCATCATCAACAACAACAACAACAGTAATAATAAATAAAAGAATAATCCATAAAAGAATAATAATAATAATAATAATAATGATAATAATAATAATAATTACATTAAACGTAGAACTATCGCAAATTCATTACCAGATTAATCACAAAAGAGACTCTACTACGCTGACCTCCATGGAAAATATCATGTAACTGTGGCGAATCTGCGAATCGTCAGGATGTTGTGAGTTTCACATACACTAACAGCATGTGTGCTGGATTCATCGCTGTGATGAAGGACGCTTGCAGTGTTTGAAGATCAGCGAACGCGGCGACACGCCTGAAAGCAAATCGCGTCCCCTTTTACTCACACGGCACTTCCTGATATAAGGTTGCGCCTCAGATTGTGTCATGCAACGGGGGCATTCGCGCTCAGAACAAGCCGAACAAAGATCTTTCGGGCTGTCTTCCCCGTTTCTCCCAGAGCAGTTGAAGAAGCGACTTTTCAGACAGGGTGTGTAACCTTGGCAAACAAAATGGACTACAGGGTGAGTGGGCATAATGTCAATTAGAAATCAGCAGTGCTTTAAATATAGTATGTTCTAGTTATCCAAACATGATGTAATTATGCCACAATGAAAGCTTCGACTGTAGAAAATAAGCATCTTGTCAGGTCCGTTGTATTTTGTTACTTTGTTTTGTTGGTCAACATACTTCATTTACAATGTAGAACTGTAACAGTGTTTCAATGTATGTATCAGACCTATAAGTGACACTTTGATCTGATATAATATGTTTCCCGTTCAGTGCTGGGCATTCAGGTGATCTTATGTAGAAAGATGATTATCCATTTGAAGTGTAATAGAGTTTGGGCACAAATATCATACTGGTTACATGGAAATAAGCTTATTACCATGTCCTTTGTTAAATTGTCTTCTATGATGTGTAAAGGAGAGTTTGAAGTGATGTAGGTAAGAGCTAGCATTATAAAACTGGTTTTCCTTCATATAATTCTCGGTAATAAGCGTTCGTCTGTTTGCAACAACCAGGTGCAGAAAGGGAAATGTTATGTTTCATTGTGTATGTGTTCATCAGAAGACTTCCTGTGACAGGCTCTAACACAGAGGAAGTGCTATTCTTAACAAGGGGGTGTACAATGGGGCCAGATCTGTTTTGACTGCTGTCCAGCAGCATCTGTTGAGACTGTATTTGGCTAGTCTGATGCTCACGTGATGTGCTGAGAGATTTAATGTGTGTGAATGAACTATATTAAAGGGATAGTTAACCCAAAAATTAAAATAGAAGTCATCTTGTACTCACCCTTATGTCGTTCCAAACCTGCGGGACTTTATTTCTTCTGTGCACCTCAAATATGAGGTGGAATAAAAGCCTCAGTCACCATTCTCTTTCATAGTGACTTTCATGACTTTTGATTTATTCTATTCAATTCAAGTTTATTTGTATTGTGCTTTTTACGATACAAATCGTTGCAAAGCAACTTTACAGAACATTAAGTTTCTACAATATTTAGTAGTAGCTTATCAGTGGTGACTGTCAGTTTATGTACATATGGCAGAAATGTACGGAAAAATCAATTAAAGACGTAATCAAACAGACGATGAACACTATTAACAGCATTGAATACCTGTATAGTTTTGTAATCGATCTATGAGTATGTCATGATCTATGGTGTCGAACTCAGCACAAAGATCAAGTAAAACTAGCAATGAGATGCAGCCTTGGTCTGACGCAAGAAGCAAGAGATATGTACAGTAAAACTACTATATGTGACCCTGGAGCACACAACCAGTCTTAAGTCGCTGGGTTATATTTGTAGCAATAGCCAAAAATACATTGTATGGGTCAAAATTATTGATTTTCCTTTTATGCCAAAAATCATTAGGATATTAAGTAAAGATCATGTTCCATGAAGATATTTTGTAAATTTCCTACTGTAAATATATTAAAACTTAATTTTTGATGAAATATATTAAAACTTAATTTTTGATTAGTAATATGCATCGCTAAGAACTTCATTTTTTTTGTCCCATTACATTCTAACATTGTAAGATTACAATCTAAAAACAAAAATAATGAATTTTTTGCACCCTCAGATTCCAGATTTTCAAATAGTTGTATCTCAGCCAAATATTGTCCTATCCTAACAAGCCATACATCAATGGAAAGCTTATTTATTCAGCTTTCAGATGTTTTAGTTTAGTGGCCCAGGGTCACATATTTTCAAATGTAATTTAGGCTATTCCTGTGATGGCAAAGCTGAATTTTCAGCAGCCATTACTTCAGTGTCACATGATCCTGTTATGCTGATTTGGTACTCAGGAAACATTTTTTATTATTGTCAATGATACAAAACAGTGCTGCTTAATATTTTAGTACACAAACTCTGATACATTTTTTTTCCCAGAATTATTAGATGAATAGAAAATTAAAAAGAACAACATTTATTTGAAATTGAATGTTTTGTAATGTCTTTACTGTCACTTCTGGTCAGTTCTGGTCAAAGTGTCATTTGCTGAATAAATGTATGAATTTCTTTAAAAATGACCCCAAAATTTAATTACCTACAGGATACATTATGGAAGATCTTGAGTGTTTTAAAAGATGGACTGAGCTAGGGCTAGGCGATATGGGCAAAAAAAATCATATCTCTCTATTTTTTTATTATTTTGGGCTGAAATGCAATATACAGTATACATCTCAGTATTTTCTACATTTTCTATTTGGATAAAAAAAAAGATATTTAAATAATGTTAAATTGAATAAGTATATATATATTCTGATATATATATATATATATATATATTATACAGTATCTCACAGAAGTGAGTACACCCCTCACATTTTTGTAAATATTTTTTTATATCTTTTCATGTGACAACAAAAATTCGGAATAATTTGTAATATATAATTATTCACGGTATTTAGAAGTGCCCAGGATAACAATATCGTGCATATTCATTACCGTGATATATCGCATTACCGAATACCAGCACAAGTCTAATATATATATATATATATATATATACTTATTTATTTTAACATTCTGCCCAATGTTGTCCAATGAAATAATGTTTATATCAAAAGCAATGAAAACAAATATAGTGAAAGTAGGTTATGCTATCCATTATGTGCAAAAAGGAGCTAAAATCCCATTACATTCTAACATTACAATCTAAAAACAAAAATAATGATTTTTAAAGCAGAAGTTCTATTCACTAAACTAAAAATGAAATTAAATAAACACGTGAGCACAGATTAATTGCATTATGTTTTGATTACCACATATCTGCTATCATAAAATAGACTTACTTGTAATTCTATATATGACTATTATGGTGCTCCTCCTTTTCTATTGCCCTCCGTCTGTTTGGCGCGCTCGTTCACTGAAGTCTGTGAAGTTTAGAATCGCATGAGTCCTGACCGCAAAATGGAAATATTTCCATGACTTTCTAACGTTTACAGATGGAGAATATACCTGTGAAATGTAAGTTATGCACTGAGGAAAACAGCACATCTCAAACGCATTAAACAGTGCAAGTAGCGTATCTGTCGTAGCATCTGACTGGGCGAGCCGTGTTAACTATCTTACGAGTTATTTTAAAGCCCTTAATATAAAGCATGTCTCATGTTTAGGACAAATTGGATTATGCACTTTCCCTGTAGCAGCTCACGCTATGTCCACTGCTATGATTCAGATGAGCTTGTATTAAACTACTGTAGCTATATCGATATAAATGGTATTGCCTCATCCATATCGCTTTAAAAAATTTATATCGATATATCGTTCAAACTCAATATACCGCCAAGCCCTAGACTGAGCTACTAAAGCACTTTACGTCTGATCCTGCTTTAGACATCTGAACATTTCCATTGGAAACATGAGCTCTTTGACCCAACAATGGACAAATAATCAAAGCTCAGCTAGAGAGGGTGTGATTGTCTGCACTGCAGTATACTAGCAGCTGAAAGCAAGCAGTATGAGGTGACATCTTATTTTCTATAAACTTAGTTGTGCTTTGTTTCACACTTGTTCTTTTACCACATTCATGTTATCTGTCAGGTTCAGAAGATGTTTTACAACATACCAGACGTGCACATCCCTTCATCTCTTTTGCAATGTGTCTCTTCTCTTGCCTTTTGCCCTTTTTACAAGATAACATAATCTCAGCTTTTTATGGCATGTTATGCAGTGAGATCCTGTCTGTAGGTCTTGTTACAGTACATAAGACTGATAGGGATGCTGCCTTTAAAGATCTCGCTTCAGGGCTGTCGAGGTTCCACATTTCACACCGTTGTTATATTTGGATCCTGAACGTGTGATGCACATCAGTCCTGGTCAAAGTTTCAGTTGCTCACTCACATAACCTGTTTACCTGCTTCTCTGAATCCACGGTACTTGGCAGACCCTGATAAACCTGCCGGAGGGCTTGTCATGGACTTAGAACTCTATTCAGGGGGTGTTGTTTAGCTGATTCATTCATTATCTCCTTGACAAGATGATTGAAATTAATACCTTTTAAGTTTGTTTAAAGGGGTCATATGATGCTTTTTTAAAGATCATTATTTTGTGTATTTGGTGTAACAGAATATGTTGACATGCTTTAATGTTCATTCATCTAGTAGTCTAATTACACCTCATTTATTGTGGTTTTTAGTATAACTAGGCCTAGGGCTTTTTACATGCTCAAATTAAACAAAATGCAAATTATAGCATTAGTCAAGCTTTTGAAGATGTAACAAGATGCTCATTCATTGTAGATGACTAGGAGTTGACATGCTCACGATATAGTTAGCTAAGACTTTGTTCAGCTGACCTCCAGATTTCCTGCGTGGAGTTGTGGTGATGCTATTTGGCCACAATATGTGCTATCATCAAGCAGAACCACATTGTGCTGTAAAAAATCGTGATTGTGAAATGCATCCACCAGATATGATTTTTACTGCCTATTTAAATGGCGCAACCCTCCATTTATAAATATGGACTTCAGTATGATAGACTTGAACTAGTATTTTTTTAGGAATTGATTTGTTTCACCCATATCCTTAGAAGCCCATTTTAAGTCTTTGCTGGTAGCTTTTAAGTTTTGTATGGCCAGTTTCTCATAATGAGTAAGGTGTGGCCAGCAGGAACAATATCTCACTTAGTAGTAATCTTCTAAGCTTTCCTTGTTTCTTGTGGCTGAAGTTAGACATACTGCTTCCAATGTGTAATTAATGAATCCAAGCTCCTGAGACAATTAAGTATGACTCAGTCTGCTATAGTAAGTATTTAATTGTTTTTGAGATTTTAATTTGCTAATAGCTGTCATTATGCTAAGCTGATCATAGATAGCCATCATTTTTGTGCTTATTCTTCAAATAGTTCCTAACCTTAAAGAAGTTTAGTAGGGTGTTTATTGAATCTTCTATAAATGTTTATTGATTGATTTATGTGGCTGTTGCTTGTAATTACAGCAGACAGTTCTTGGTTTCTGTATGTTGTTTTCTGCTGAAGCTTGTAGTTTTCCAGCTGTTTACTAAAATTAGATAGGGTTCATTTCTGTAACATTTCTCCTTTCCTCATGCAGAGTGCCTTGGAGGTGTATAAGGAGATGGTGCTGCTGTACATAGAGGAGGCTCGGCACTTTGTGAATTCTCAGTGTGCTGATCTGGAGCCATGGCAGATCATTGCGACCACTTTGCTGTCCACACTTGGTGCAGTGTGGCTAAAGGGTTTCCTTTTCCAAAAAGAGAGTAAGTGCTATTTATCACTCAGGGTTTTTTTTTTTTTTAATCAAGATGTTTTTGAACATATGTATGTATCAGGCATGTTAAATATGTTGACAGGTTTACACTATCATTCAAAAGTTTGAGGTTGGTACAATTTTTTTTTTAAGAAGTTTTTGAAAGAAGTCTCTATAAGGCTCGTCAAGGCTACATTTATAAAAATAAAAATACAGTAATATTATGAAAAATCATTACTATTTAATATAACAACTTTTTAAAATATATTTTAAAATGTAATTTACTCCTGTGATGGCAAATATGAATTTTTAGCAGGCATTACTTCCGTTTTTATTGACACATGATCCTTCAGAAATTATTCTAATATGATGATTTGTTGCTTAAGAAACATTTCTTATGATTATCAATGTTGAAAACAGTTGTGCTGCTTAATATTTTCGTGGAAGCAGAGAAAAAAAAATTTCAGGATGCTTTGAGTAGAAAGTTCAAAAGAAAAGCATTTATTTGAAATGGAAATCTTTTGTTACAATATACAAGTCTTTAATGTCACTTTTGATCAGTTAAATTCATCACTGCTGAATAAAAGTAATAATTTCTTGAAAAAATACAGTTTTGTTTTTAAATGGTAGTGTACATAATCTTGATATCTTTCCATGAGTCAAGAGAAGAAAAAAATAATTTAATTGTTGAAAAAGTATAATGGTTTACTTATCAACAGACTTTTCACAGTACTGTTCCCTTTCAGTAGGTCACTTCGACGTTGTGTTGAGGTTTCCAACACTAGGGGTTGCTCTTGGGAGCCCAGACACCTCTGACATCATTGAGAAAAGGCCAATGAAATTGGCAAACAAAATTTACATAGCTGGACACAACCCGGACATCCTTGTATAAATAAGCCAGCGTAGCATTTGCTCACTTCTGTTCTGTTTTTCGGAGCTGAATGCAGCGTCTCTCTGTGAGAAGCGGCACTCATTCACCTCTCGATCTCCTCGGAGTTGGATCTATGGCACAGGCAGCGGTCTTTCCCTTCTCATCCACAGCTAAGTGTTGTGAGAGTACCCCCTGGTGCTTCAACGGCAATCTTTGAGAGCAAATTTCCTCTTAAAATGGCAAATTCTCTGAAAGAGCTTTACGGGTGGAATTGTGTGTTTACATCATACCTTTCTGCCCTTGTTCTTCTGGTTACAGTTACCATGTCTCTCTTTATGACCGGCACACTCACTGCCTTCAGTGTTTGGGCCCTGCTCATGCTGAAGCAGTGCTCGTGGATGGTTCACGTCCCGCTTGCAAGGACCTCTCCTTAGGCACGTTGAGCTCGCGGCTAGGGTTCTTTGCCAAAAGAGCCCAAGTCACCCCAGCCGTTTCTTGTTCCGGTCCTTCTACTTTCGGTATGAGGCCACAATGATGTGCACCGGGGAAGAGCCCGGTGAGATGAGAATGGTTCCGCTGGGGGAATCCCCATGGGCTTCTCATTCCTCCCACACTTCGTATCCTCCAGTTGAGCTTCCGGATGAGTTTGCTAGCTTGTCTCAAGGCGAGTTAAATTTCTCATTCGGGGCTCGTGATGAGGATAAGCTGTCAATCACAGCATCGGAGGGCAGTCTAAAACCAACTGAAACCGATGACTCGGAGTCTGAGGCAGACACTGAGAATGATGGTTGTGCTTGCCCGGGCAGCCAAGAGCATCGGGCTCGAGTGGATTCCCCACCCTGCCTCGAACACTCTCGGCTGGATGATTGGTTTCTGGGCACTGAGCGCAACACTAAGCCGAGCCCAGCCCCCGTTCCTTTCTTCCCAGAGGTGCACAAGGAACTGCTGAAATTGTGGAAGACCTCCTTCTCGGCCAGGAGACGATACACTGGTTCCTCTGTCCTCACAGCCCTCGGTGGAGATGCCATGGCTATCATGCAGGTCTACCAGGCCAAGGTGTTGAAAGAACTGCACAAGATCCCAACCCAGAGGTTTTGCAGGAACTGCACTCGGCGACCGACTATGACCTCCGGGCTACGAAGGTCACGGTGTAGACTCTGGGCAGGATGATGTTCATGCTAGTGGTCCAGGACCGCCACCTGTGGCTCAACCTGGGTAAGATGCGAGATGCCGAGAAAGTATGATTTCTTGACGCCACCATTTCCTAGGTTGGTCTCTTTGGTGACATAGTGGAAGAATTTGTGCAGAAGTTCTCCACGGTTAAGCGGCAGACGGAGGCCATCAAACACATCCTGCGTCTGTGTGGGTCAGGCCCTGGTCATGCACCACCTCACATCTGGTGTCTCTGGCCCTCCCATCTGCGATGGCCAGACGCTGAGATTAGGCATCAGAGCCTGTTCAGACACAGACTTCCTTTCTCCTCACGTTCTGATGCAACAGGTCTGTCACCAAGCCAGTGTGATGCTTGTTGGCGAACCCCTGTTCCCTCATTTGTCAGTGGCTCATTTGACAGACCTGATAGACAAGGCACGGTGCGCCCTGATAGACATTTCACCTCCTGCCACTGTGCCTTTTGTTCCGCTAAGTGACTTTTGACCCTGCCCTAGGTATGTTGAATGTAGTTACCTTGAGACCATTGGCTTCCACGGTCTGGACGGGCCCCCGGCTGCATTGGCATATCAACTGCCTGGAGTTGTTGACAATGCTTTTGGCTTTGAGGAGATTTCAACAAGTCTCTGTGTGCCACGCACATCCCGGGCGACCTCAATCATGTTGCCATTGCCAGTTGTGGTGTTCCCTGACCAAGGCCCCCCTTGGCACAAACGCACTGGCTCACAGCTGGTCCAGGGACCTACACAAATATGCGTTTCCCCCCAGTGAGCCTCATTGTACAGACTGCAAAGTCAGGGAGGGAAGAAAGGGAACAAGTCTTGTCTGTGGCACCTTATTGGACCAACAAGACTTGGTTCTCGGAGCTTGTGCTATTGGCATCGGCCCCTCCCTTGCGGATTCCTCTGAGAAGAGACCTTCTCTCCCAGGGGGAAGGGCACAATCTGGCACCTGCACCCAGATCTCTGGACGTGACTAGGAGGAATTCAGAGACCTTTCACCCACTGTGGTGAATACTATTACGCAGGCCAGGGCCCCCTCTATGAGGTGGCTGTATGACCTGAAGTGGTGCATTTTCATGAATTGGTGGATCCTCGGAGATGTGGGATCGGTTCCATGCTATCCTTTTTCCAAGAGGGCCTGGGCAGGCACCTGTCTGCTTATACGCTTAAGGTGTACATAACAGACTTTTCACAGTACTGTTCCCTTTCAGTAGGTCACTTCGACGTTGTGTTGAGGTTTCCAACACTAGGGGTTGCTCTTGGGAGCCCAGACACCTCTGACATCATTGAGAAAAGGCCAATGAAATTGGCAAACAAAATTTACATAGCTGGACACAACCCGGACATCCTTGTATAAATAAGCCAGCGTAGCATTTGCTCACTTCTGTTCTGTTTTTCGGAGCTGAATGCAGCGTCTCTCTGTGAGAAGCGGCACTCATTCACCTCTCGATCTCCTCGGAGTTGGATCTATGGCACAGGCAGCGGTCTTTCCCTTCTCATCCACAGCTAAGTGTTGTGAGAGTACCCCCTGGTGCTTCAACGGCAATCTTTGAGAGCAAATTTCCTCTTAAAATGGCAAATTCTCTGAAAGAGCTTTACGGGTGGAATTGTGTGTTTACATCATACCTTTCTGCCCTTGTTCTTCTGGTTACAGTTACCATGTCTCTCTTTATGACCGGCACACTCACTGCCTTCAGTGTTTGGGCCCTGCTCATGCTGAAGCAGTGCTCGTGGATGGTTCACGTCCCGCTTGCAAGGACCTCTCCTTAGGCACGTTGAGCTCGCGGCTAGGGTTCTTTGCCAAAAGAGCCCAAGTCACCCCAGCCGTTTCTTGTTCCGGTCCTTCTACTTTCGGTATGAGGCCACAATGATGTGCACCGGGGAAGAGCCCGGTGAGATGAGAATGGTTCCGCTGGGGGAATCCCCATGGGCTTCTCATTCCTCCCACACTTCGTATCCTCCAGTTGAGCTTCCGGATGAGTTTGCTAGCTTGTCTCAAGGCGAGTTAAATTTCTCATTCGGGGCTCGTGATGAGGATAAGCTGTCAATCACAGCATCGGAGGGCAGTCTAAAACCAACTGAAACCGATGACTCGGAGTCTGAGGCAGACACTGAGAATGATGGTTGTGCTTGCCCGGGCAGCCAAGAGCATCGGGCTCGAGTGGATTCCCCACCCTGCCTCGAACACTCTCGGCTGGATGATTGGTTTCTGGGCACTGAGCGCAACACTAAGCCGAGCCCAGCCCCCGTTCCTTTCTTCCCAGAGGTGCACAAGGAACTGCTGAAATTGTGGAAGACCTCCTTCTCGGCCAGGAGACGATACACTGGTTCCTCTGTCCTCACAGCCCTCGGTGGAGATGCCATGGCTATCATGCAGGTCTACCAGGCCAAGGTGTTGAAAGAACTGCACAAGATCCCAACCCAGAGGTTTTGCAGGAACTGCACTCGGCGACCGACTATGACCTCCGGGCTACGAAGGTCACGGTGTAGACTCTGGGCAGGATGATGTTCATGCTAGTGGTCCAGGACCGCCACCTGTGGCTCAACCTGGGTAAGATGCGAGATGCCGAGAAAGTATGATTTCTTGACGCCACCATTTCCTAGGTTGGTCTCTTTGGTGACATAGTGGAAGAATTTGTGCAGAAGTTCTCCACGGTTAAGCGGCAGACGGAGGCCATCAAACACATCCTGCGTCTGTGTGGGTCAGGCCCTGGTCATGCACCACCTCACATCTGGTGTCTCTGGCCCTCCCATCTGCGATGGCCAGACGCTGAGATTAGGCATCAGAGCCTGTTCAGACACAGACTTCCTTTCTCCTCACGTTCTGATGCAACAGGTCTGTCACCAAGCCAGTGTGATGCTTGTTGGCGAACCCCTGTTCCCTCATTTGTCAGTGGCTCATTTGACAGACCTGATAGACAAGGCACGGTGCGCCCTGATAGACATTTCACCTCCTGCCACTGTGCCTTTTGTTCCGCTAAGTGACTTTTGACCCTGCCCTAGGTATGTTGAATGTAGTTACCTTGAGACCATTGGCTTCCACGGTCTGGACGGGCCCCCGGCTGCATTGGCATATCAACTGCCTGGAGTTGTTGACAATGCTTTTGGCTTTGAGGAGATTTCAACAAGTCTCTGTGTGCCACGCACATCCCGGGCGACCTCAATCATGTTGCCATTGCCAGTTGTGGTGTTCCCTGACCAAGGCCCCCCTTGGCACAAACGCACTGGCTCACAGCTGGTCCAGGGACCTACACAAATATGCGTTTCCCCCCAGTGAGCCTCATTGTACAGACTGCAAAGTCAGGGAGGGAAGAAAGGGAACAAGTCTTGTCTGTGGCACCTTATTGGACCAACAAGACTTGGTTCTCGGAGCTTGTGCTATTGGCATCGGCCCCTCCCTTGCGGATTCCTCTGAGAAGAGACCTTCTCTCCCAGGGGGAAGGGCACAATCTGGCACCTGCACCCAGATCTCTGGACGTGACTAGGAGGAATTCAGAGACCTTTCACCCACTGTGGTGAATACTATTACGCAGGCCAGGGCCCCCTCTATGAGGTGGCTGTATGACCTGAAGTGGTGCATTTTCATGAATTGGTGGATCCTCGGAGATGTGGGATCGGTTCCATGCTATCCTTTTTCCAAGAGGGCCTGGGCAGGCACCTGTCTGCTTATACGCTTAAGGTGTACATGGCTGCGATTGCACCGAATCATGACACTGTAGATGGCAGATCAGTAGGGAAGCACAACCTGGTTATAAGATTCCTAAGAGGCGCCCAGAGGTTGCATCCTTCGGGCCTTACAGAGAGATCCATTTGAACCCCTTCAGTCAATTGAACTTAGTGCCCTCTCTATGAAGACAGCCTTTCTGACTGCGCTCACTTCTATAAAGAGGGTGGGGGCTCTTCAAGCTCTCTCCGTTAGCGAATAGAATTGCCTAGAATTCGGGCTGGCAGACTCTCGCGTTGTCCTGAAACCCCGGCTTGGATATGTGCCCAAGGTTCCCACCACTCCTTCCTTCCAGAGATCAGGTGGTAACCTTGCAAGCTATCCCCCCACAGGAAGGGGACCTCAACCTGTCTCTGTTGTGCGCAGTGTCAAGTCAAGTGACCTTTATTTATATAGCTCTTTTAACAATACAGATGGTGTCAAAGCAACTTTACAGTATTAAATAGGAAAATAGTGTGTCAATAATGCAAAATGACAATAGTAAACACTCAATTTTCAGTTAAAGGCAGTCCATCATTGAATTCAGTGATGTCATCATCCAGCTCAGTAAAGTTTAAATAGTATCTGTGCAATCAAGTCGACAATATCAATGGATATTAAGTGTCCCCAACTAAGCAAGCCAGAGGCGACAGCGGCAAGGAACCAAAACTCCATCGATGACAGAATGGAGAAAAAACCTTGGGAGAAACCAGGCTCAGTCAGGGGGCCAGTTCTCCTCTGGCCAGACGAAACCAGCAGTTCAATTCCAGGCTGCAGTAAAGTTACATTGTGCAGAGGACTCATCTGGTTCCTGTGGTCTTGTCCCGGTGGCCGTCTAGGAGACAAGGTCTTCACTGGGGAGTGTAAGCCCTGTGCATCTATTTGGAATGCACACAGGGTTTCAGACGGTCTGAACAGCTCTTTGTCTGCTTTGGAGGACAGCAGAAGGGAAATGCTGTCTCTAAACAGAAGATCTTCCACTGGATTGTGGATGTGATCCTAATGGCCTATCAGGCCAGAGGCTTACCATGCCCACTGGGAGTGAGGCTCACTCAACCAGGGACATTGCTGCTTCATCAGCTTTAGTGAATGGTTCCTCTCTAACAGACATTTGCAGAGTTGCAGGTTGTGCTACACCTAATACATTTGCCAGATTATACAATCTGCAGATGGAACCAGTCTCATCCAGAGTCTTGAACCCTAGTCCTTATACTCAGGTGACTGGTATGGTGAAGAGCTTGTACATGGCGCCTCCCCCGTCTCAGATGGCATGTGTGCTCATTGAGCCCAGTTCAGTTCCTCCTTATGAACTCTGGGCTACCTTTCCATCACTTAAGCACTTTTTTAGAGTTCGGTGGAGGAACTCGCTATTAGAATTCATTGTGAGCTTGGTAGTTCTCCCCTTATGCGGAGCCCACCACAGAATCTGTGTGACACACTGGCTTGTCAACATCTGCGCCCCCGTGGTTTCATAACGCAGTTCAGCAGCTGTGGCATTTTGTATAGGGACCCCTAGTGTCAGAAACTTTAACACAACGTAAAAGTGACCGACTGAAAGGGAACATCTCGGTTACATATGGTAACCCTTGTTCCTTGATGGAGGGAATGGAGATGTTGTGTCCCTTATACTACAACTGAACTGAACTGCCTCTGAGTGGGTTGAGACGCTTCTTGACTCCTCAGAACAGAACAAGTGAGCAAATGCTGCGCAGACCTATTTATACCCGGATGTCTGGGGTGTGGCCAGCTATGCAAATTTTGCTCACCGATTTCATTGGCCTTTCCTCAATGATGTCAGAGGTGTCTGGGCTCCCAAGAGGAACCCCTAATGTCAGAAACTTCGGCACAATGTCTCTGTTCCCTTCATCAGGGAATGAGGGTTACCATACGTAACAGAGATTTTTTTCTTTTTTCACAGCAACTCAAATTTAGAAAAATGTCTTGTGGAGACATTTCATGTCACGTGTTCACTGCAATTTGCTCATTGTGTCATGTTTTCTAGGTCTGACATCAAGGGTAAAGAAGCAGTTCTTTAAAATCATCAGAAAAATCCCATTTATTGGAGCAACAGTAAGCATCGTGGTTTTCTAGTTCCCTTTCTTCCTTCATACTTCTCTTTCTGACTTGATGGTTAAGTCACCACTGTCATGCTGAAGTAGAAATTAAGCCTTTAACACACTTTCACATTAGACCCTGTGATTATTCCAGGGTTTACCTTGTGTCATTAATCTGAACAGAGCGCAACATGTCAGGTTCCAATCAGAACCGACTGCAGGTTGATTTTAATCTGTCTTGTCAGAGTCTTTTGTCTTTAACAATATTTATTTGAATGCGTCTAACCATCCTAACATTACAAATTACAACCTAAACACCCGTTAGAACAGGGGATCTTTTTGACTTAAAGACCTCCATTGTGCAACACAATATTCAAAGGCCTCTCATATAAGTTATAATATTTCTTCTGGTTTGTTCTTCTGTAATTATGCTAAAGGTGCTTGTTTTCAAACTTTTTTGGAATAATGTAGTTTTAAATATTTAAAAATTAAATAATAAGAAAATATTCATTTACTAATTTTTACACCATGATGTGTTTTTAGCATTTTAAACAAGTTAGATTATTTTCAAATTATTTTAATTAAGTCATCCTGCAGCTTCCTTTAGAAGTTTGCTGAGGCCTCCTAGTGGGCCCTGGACCAGTGGTTGAGAACCACTGCCTTAGAGCACTGCAAGTCATTAAAAGATCTGCTTTTGAATTTGCAAATAGATGAAGAAGTAACGTCATATCAGCACTGAAGTAATTGTTTTTATTTTCCCTTCAATTACTCTATTCCCTATATTTCTTGTATTAATTAAGTATTCAGAGGTCTTTATGACACTTTTTGTTTTCTTTTCAATCTTTCCCTCATCAGATTCAGAATCAGCTCAACAAGGCATTGGATGACATGTCGATGAGTCTATGCACGCTGAAGGAAGGCATGTGCTACACCAAACTCCTACCAGCACAGGGCCTCACCCACAAACAGCTCCTCGACAAGATCAGGGAGTATGAGACACTGAGTGAGTCACCTTCAGCCTGTCCCAACTCTCATCTGTTATAATGAGGGAAAGCCCAAAGACTTTGAGGATAAATCAGAACTCTTAAAGTTTCAGCCAGATGTTCTCAGACTGAATTTGCCCTTCAGTGTGGGTGCAGTTTCTTTGCAAACAAGTTTATTTATTAGGGTATAATGCCACTGGTTTATACAGTATTAGAAGTCAGTGTCCCACCATTGTTCTGTCTTTTTTCATACTTGATTTCAGGTGAAGTAGACTGGGCGAAAGGCAAAGTGTCAGGTGCAGTCTACTGGGGGGATGAGAAGCTCACAGATCTCCTGGTGAAGGTATAATGACCTTTTAAATCATTTACATCAGCAAATCCCAACAAAGGCTATGTGTGTTCCAGGGGGTACTTTTAATTTTGCTTTAATTCATAAAACTGGACAAAAAATTAAAATAAAATAGTCAAGGTTAATCTTATGATTCAGCTCATTTTTCAAGAAAAGGAGACAAAAAATATGTGAAATGCTTTTAGAACTTTGTTTTGATCAAACGCAGATTATTTGTGCTATCTGGTGTGTCTTTGTTTAACCCACAGTATTGATTTTCTTAAAAACTGACTTTAATAATAAAATAATGATGATATTAATAATTTAAAAATTATACTGGTAATTATTAAATTAGATAAATTATACCCAGAATAATATCTCATTTAATTTAATATACAGTACTCTTCAAAGGTTTGGGGTCAGTAAGAGTTTTTTTTATCTTATGCTCACTAAGGCTGCATTTGGTTGGTTTTATGAAAACTGTAGTAAAATCATGTGAAATAGTATTACAGCACAATAACTGTTTCTATTTTAATATATATTAATATGTAGTTTATTTAATGTGGAAACCGTAGCGCTGCTTAATATTTTTGTGGAAACCATGATACATTTTTTAGGATTCTGTGATGAATAGAAAGTTCAAAACAACAGCATTTATTTGAAATTTATTTTACTGTCACTTTTGATTAATTGAATGCATCCTTGCTGAATAAAAGTATCAATTTCTTTCTTTAAAAAAATCTTACTGATCCCCCCCACCTTTAACTGCCGATGAAATGCTATTTGATGGGGTTGTGGGTTGATACATATGACAAACAAGGTTGGGGAACACTGTCTTTGATTTTCACTTTACCTTTGAATCAAGCAGAGGCTTTGTAAAACAAGAAATAATTCCTGGATTTTGTTTTGTGTTCCTCTGATTTGCAGGTATATGGTGAGTTTGCCTGGACCAATCCCCTCCACCCAGACCTGTTCCCTGGGGTTAGGAAGATGGAGGCAGAAGTGGTGCGGATGACGTGTGCCCTCTTTAATGGAGGGCCAGACTCCTGTGGCACAGTCAGTCCTTCTCACTGTCTTCCACATTTTGTAAAATTTCCCATTGTTCTCTGCTCTCTGCAGTTGTTTGCACTTGAGATAATAAGCTGAATGTTGGAAAATATCTCCTTAACAGAATCTGTAGAATGCTGAGAGTTGAATACACTGGCTGCATTGACACAGCAGCAGAATTAAATTGTGTATCTAGTGTTTTTTACAGCTATTGTGATAATACAAAACAGGGTTTCAGCGTGTCCTTAAAAAGTCTTAAATTTAGTTATATCAAATTTAAGGCCATAAAGTCTTAAATGGTACAAGAAAGTCTTAATTATGATTTCAAGACGTCTTAAATTTTGGGGACGGAAACACAAGAATTGCAATATGGCTCATGGTGACGATTAAACTTCAAAAGGCTATGATTTCATTGAATAAATATGAGCGCTGCACATTTCAAAGTCAGATGCTGTGCTGTTTTGTGTACAGTCGTTACCGGGGAAACCGCTACAGTGGGTATAGAAAAGAATCCCCCCCTTTAAAATAATCGCATTTTGTTGCTTTGCAGCCTGAAATGAAGATGGACACAGTTTTTGTTTTAT